CTAGGGATGTTGGAAATGACGTTTGTGCGGGTCCACCCACATCGTCTCTTGAAATTGACATGTGTGTGGATCCACCCACGGCGTCTGCTGCTGCTCCTCCTGAAGAATCCGCGCAACCGGAAATGCTTCTATAACCGCTGAAAATCCTTTCAGTAGGTATTTTGGGTGTCTTTGCGAAGATGAGGACAGCACAGTCGCACCAGAAGGATAATTTCAGGAGGCTTTGCAGATTTTCTGCCTATGTTGTGCATTACCCCTTGTCACTATGAGAGACCTCTTTGATACGATGCGGCCGTTTATTTCCAGGGGCCCTTTTATCCACGCCTCGAACGTGTATAAGGAAGCTGTTAGACAATTGTTGCTATGTATATTTGCCCCTGAGGGAGGGCCTGATATATGAACTCCACATTCGGCCAATAGTGGTAACTCCGGAGGAGCGCTTGCAACTTTACGTCGACGGAATATATCTGTTTAAGGGGTCGTGTGAAGGCCGCTCGACCACACTTTGTCATATCAGGCATCCCGTTGTTTCCCAACCCTTCGTTGTTAATGTCTTCTCCGGTTTTGGCAAGCCTGAACTTCTCGAAAACTGTCTGGTGGACTTCGTTTCAGAGCTGAAATAACTGCTGGCGGATAGTCTGTCCACTCAACTTATGCATGGCTTTGTGAAGGTGGCCCTCGATCCTATTATATGTGACAGGCCTACCCGGTCGTCAAAATATTGTTACCCTGCCAAAACGATTTCTACACGGTCGGTGAGTTGGGTGCTAAAGTTTGGCTCTAGACCATTGGCATCCATCTAAACGGTCTAGTCTGAATAAGGAGGATCCGTTGAATAGCACAAGGTTACTAAACATTTTTAATTAAATACCTTGGACACTCGCATTTTTTGATAGGAGTAAGTTGGGCTGCTTCCTCACCAACTACAACTTTTATTATAACAAAAAGTTGTCTACCTTACCTTTTTGCTGAATATCGTAGTATGGTGACAGGCTTTTTGCTTTCAAATTTTTCTACTCACATGCGTGATTATCACCCCCTCTGGTGTACGTCTAATTTTTACTATGAATTTGTCATGACCTTTTGCGACATCGGCTTTTTTGGGTATTTCTTGATAATGCTTAGCAAGCCTTACCCTCCATTGTTACTGCCCATCTACAATACAAGGGGAATAAATGGCTCGAAAAGACAGCCTGAGCGAGTGATGACCACTCGTCCTATTGGCAGACCGGATGTCTAACTTGGGACATGTTAATTTCTTTCGGTATCGGCTAAAAAAATTAGGTATGTGTTAACTTTATGCCTGTGTGGGTTATAGGTCTCCGTTTTATGTGAGCCATCACATAAATAGCGTAGTATGCTTCAGTAATCTGTCTCACCATCACGGTGCCTTGTCTGAGCCGGAATACTCCTATAGTGAATAACATTTGAATGTTTTGTAATCCGGTGTCGGTATCTCATTAATAGTCCTTGGTACATATGAGGGCCATCTCCAGTCATTTGCGAGTTGACTCATTGTCTGGGAACTTTCTTAATAATTTTTCTGTCTTCTTTTTTCTCCTTTCTTTTTACCTCAGGGTGCCATTGCCAGATTTGTTAAATATCGCATTTTATTTCTGCTATGACTCATGTTTTTTCATACCGGCTATTTCGCCTAACCCATTCTCTGTTTCTCTAGAACATTCTCAACAATCAGGTTCCCTCTGCCTCTTTCGTGCGCCATGGGAGACGATCGTCACTTTGCACCTATTGAAGTGGATGAGAACATCTGGACAGTGCCATCGCGATACAGTTTCTTCAAAGTTGCTGGTCATGGATCTTACGGAACTGTCAGGTGCGCTGCTGACTTTTGATAAGCAACGAAGCCATTTTGCGGTCAGATTTTCATGATAATGTATCATCACGCTTTTCTTTGTCTTATCTGAAAAGATGCATTCAAATAGTCCCAATACAGAGGAATTCAGGTACCATGTTCATACACCCAATCATTGACAGTGACCTTTGTAAATCTTTCAAAACATAACAGCTTATTATTTGGCCATTTACACTGAATACTATTTGGTTAGGATTCAGAGCCAATCCTCTTGGTGCAATAATTCAAGCATTGTGCTTGGTTCTGTTTATAGCCCGATCACCTGTACTGGTTAAGCTTTCTTGAAAGTCCATGCTGTCACAAACAATTAAAGCCCGTATTCGGTGGCTAGAAGCCAGACCTCCTGCAGTTGCTTTATAGTTTTAATCAGCAAACACGAGAGAAAAAGAGAGGAATACGCTTTATTTTGAAGGTAAATGTCCATAGTTTTCGGCAAAAGATACTGCAACCATCTCCTTTTCAGGCCATCTCTGCTCGTTTTTTTAAACATTTTGTTACAATGACGATGACACAAATGCAGAATGTTTTGTAAAGTAACATCACAGGAAAAATCTTCACTGAGTCAATGCTTCGCCCGACCAAACCGCCTAAGCGAGCTGTTTTCAATATACGGCAAAGATAAACTTTGTCCGGAGGCAGCATTCATAAAACGGTCCGATCTATTTTAACCTACCTGCGAGCTATCGTTAAGTTTCGAGCAGAAAAATTTCCAGGGACGACAGAGAATCCGTGCATGTTATATGCTGTAACAGATTTTTGCCTGCAAAACAATCGGCTACCCCGAATTTCGTAATTTCAGAGATTTTTTCGTGGCGTAAAGCCGCCAATCCTTACTTTGGTGTAAATATATTTGATACTTGAATTGACCGTGAGGCGGACGAAGAGGGGATTACGCTTGCTTAGATAAACTTCCCCAAAACACTGAAAATTGGACCGTTGATTTCGATGAGGTCGATCGTGTGCTCTACAGTAGATTGGTGCAGATACAGTGACTTGTGTTGGATTTTAGTGAGAGCAGACATTCGCTGCCTCTACCTCCATCTTTGTTCCACTCTCCTACAGAGTTAAGAAGATCGGAGAGCTGCGTTCTAGTTACCTGTTCGAGGCAAGTGATACGATATACCAGGACATTCACGTGGAATCCATAACTGTACATTCCAAACTTATGTTGTGGACATGTTTGGGGTCGAGCATGAAAAATTGTACTGCACATTGAAACTTTCAGGTGCTGTCTGCGATCTTAAGGTCCAGTTCCGTTTCGGAAGAGAAGTTGGGCGCCAAGTGGGAGGAATAATGCATTCTGCAGCGGGTAGTGGATACTTTGTTGGAGGAATTTGAAAATCAGACGAGCGCACGACTCGCTGACCTGCAGACCCTACAATACCACATAGATAGAGTAAACTATGGGGAGGCCATTGCCATTTTTGAATTCCAACGCGGATACTAAAACATTGAGCTGAATTCTCACACTTAAGTTGTCGTAAGTAGGTAATACCTCCTGATAAGAGCTCTTCTGGAATCATTCTCGTCAACTAAGCTGAACATAGCGTGAAAATCATGGAGAATAGGCATCTATCTTCTGTTGAAAACTGCATTTTTGTGGACCCGTCTCAGGCCAATATGCAGCCGGCAGAGGTCTGCTGTTTTCTTGCCGTGCGCCGACTCACACAAGACCTCAAGCCGGTGGCTGCCACCTGACATGACTTAGGATTCCGCCCTGAGCGGGGCGGACGCAGACAGCATCGTTGGCCGCTGTGACGATGCCGGGCTCTCACACGGCCCTCACGGTCAAATGAGTGACAACTTCCCAAGACTTTTGTCTCCTCCTAAGGGATTTG